ATGCCTTCCAGCTCTCAGCATGGAAGTTCGAAGATGGAGCTCCCACCAGGCGTGAGTTGCATCGCTGATTGGGGATCCACAGTGTGCAAGCTTCCTCGTGTGGCAAAGTTCCGACACAGCTACATGGAGTTGACCAACATCCCAGAGTTTCATTCATACCTTGTGTGGGTGAAACAACACGGAGTGGGAAAGGGAGGACGCTTCGAGGACTTCTCAAAATACTTGGTTGCAATCAAGTTCGGAGAGGCTTCAAATAAGGGCTCAGGATATCACGAGTTCGCATGTTTTCCTGGCAGTTCCGACATTCGTGAACAGAAGTGAGCAGAAGATCGAAAACCGCATGCTGCCAATATAATTCTCTTTTTGGCCTGGAAAGCCTTGAAGTTGAGAGAAAGAAAGAGGAGTTTGAAAGCAGCATGCAGGCATGTCTTGCAGGGTGGATTGACGGCCTCAACGCAGGCACCTTGAAGCTCAGGCGAGTTTGTGGAAAAGAGGCCACATGTTTTGACCGAGGACGGTCGTGTAGGCGCAGGGCACCACGCCCTGGCGGTTTTCTTAATATATATATATGTATAAGTTTCTATGTATGGTTAACTTTTGCATACGTCAATAACCTAATAACTTTAGCAGCCGCACGGTTCACCCAAGTACTAGCACTTTGCTTGGTAATTGCAGCATGAACGTGCTCTCTGACTTTGGTTTGCGTGGTCATATCCGCGCGATCGTGCGTGGACACTGTTTATGCTCATCTCAACACTGGTTGGGTCTCTTGACGGGATTGGCCAATGGTGCGCCGGTAGAGTCGGACTCCAGAATTGAATTGTTGCGCACAGGGTGTTGTCCATTGCCCGCATGCATACCGCATTGCAGTCTATTCGCGAACGAAGTGACCGACCAGTGACCGACCAGAATTGAATCATCAATGCTCAAGAGGTTCAGAACTTCATGACTTCTATTCTGCTGGAAAAGGTGACGCAACGAGCTGGCGTTTGGAGTTATGAGGTTCACTTGTTGGTTTGCAAATACTGTATGCACTGTGGGAGTTGCTTGTCAAAGGGCGCTGTGGACACCTCTCGTGATAGCTCAACCTAGGCTTAGATGCCATCCAGGTGGATGATCCGGCAAAGCAGTTGCAATGCAAGCACTACTACCATAGCAGCTGCCTCATGGCATGGTGCACCAGGAAGAACCAACAGGCCATGGCATTTTTTTTTGACTATGGTGTTGTGGTGTTATGCGATTCTTGGACTTTTGGTTCCCACATTTGTTCATTGCACGTTCTTTGCTTGCGGGTTCCTGCTTGAAGTTTGTTCCATATGTTTCAACACCCAAGCAGAACGCTTTGTAAGCACTGGAGATGTTTACTGTAGAGTCTAGAGCTTAGAGGAAGTCCATGGATATTGCTGTGATGCTGGTATTGGCCCTTTGTGCCCCTCTCCATACAATCCAAGTGTGCTATATTATATATATATAGGGAGATGACACATGAGGCCATATGGGCATGTGCGAGATGTATCTATTTAGATTCAAAGAGGCATACGGCACGGGGGGATACATGACGCTGGTGCAATTCCCGAACTTAGAAGAGAGATGAGACATTTGATTTTGTAGTTGTTCTGATGTTGCCACTTCTGGGAATCATTAAATTCAGTGTAGTCACCCACCTTCCTTGAGAAATGTGCCCATTGCTCTCCCGCAGGCGAGTCAGCAAGACACGATTCAGTGCCCCATTTGCCGACGCTTGGGTGACAGACCGACTGGTCCAAAGAATAAACCGCGCGGTCGGTACTGAAAGGGTGACATTGAATATTTACTCTCCCTGCGCTTGCAAAGATCGGAGCGCTGCACTTCGTTTCAGGAAGTCCTCACCAGCTTGTTCCGAGCATCTCGAACAACGATGAGAACGTGGACGAGCTCAACGCATGGGTTCCAGAGGAGCAGGTCTGATTAAGGCACCAAGAAGCTCGACCGGCAGGAACGCGTGGGGTTCGCTGCTTCAGGGAAAGTTTTTGCACTTTCTCTTGGAAGTGAAATTCGGTATACACAGGGCCTTACGGTGCAGTGATCAAGTTTATGAAATCCGGACCATTTACCACCAATGAGAACTTGGCACTCTGAACAGATGTTTCTCACCACAAGAACAATGCAAACCAAACTCTGTACGAATCTGACTGTTGCATGCAGCTTCGCTCCGTTAAAACCATGGATTCCCAGCAATCGTTTATGATGTTTATGGCTCCATGAACATCTCCAGCGCCGGCACCATTTCATCACCACATGGAGAAAGGACTTAGTGTCAGATTACTTGCGTGCGGTGTGATGCAGAAGTGCCAAAGACCACGGGAATTTGTTGGGCAACTTGCATTTGGAGTGGTTTGGATCACCTGGGGGCACCATTCTTTGGTCTTAGACATGCGTATCCATAGCCAGGTCGCAGGGTTGGTCTCCATTGCCAGGTCGCCTCGCTTTCAGGTGAGTGCGATCGGTCGGCTACCAATTCGGGCCAGCGCCCGGTGCATTTGGAGGTCTTTCAGAACATACAGGTGGCCCTGTGAGTTTCTGGAGTGTGTTGCACTCAGGGGACTATAGACTATAGTCTATAGTATAGATGAATGATCTTGGCAAGACTCTAGATTGAAGCTTGCAATCTCCTAAGCACTGGGTAGTTTATTTGTGCCTTGCATCAAGCAAACGGCCTGCAGGACCGTTGATAGTGGCCGTACAGTTTCTGACAAACCTGAACCATAAACTAATTCAATCATTATGTGACCTCCTGATGCAGAACTGAACTTTCCTTATTTTTTGCAAAGTTTTCAAGTTTGAACTTCTGCGTGAGCACGGGACACAAGAGCTTGTCCCACTTTCGTGCAGAGTAATCCACGACGGATATCATGTTTGTTCTCGCGACGGTGACACTGGTTGCTCGCCTTTGTATAGCATTCTCTCCGTGATGGACTGGCATCGGCATAAGGTTGAGCCCGAATCATGCTCGAATCAAGTGTGGGCGGACCGCCAGGGACGAAGCGCATCCATGGCACTGCTATCCAATTGAAAAACATGAATATCTTGTTTCTACTAGCTTCTTGTTACTACTAGTAAGGCACCTGTTCCTAGTAGCGTGGCACTTGTTTCTACTAGCTATATATTTGTATATATATATACATACACCATACACATACATGTATTGTATATACAGTGCATACAGGGCAATGTACCAAGCCCAATTTTTGTTGTCATCATCCCTACAGCCAATACCTGCACAGAGCACGATTGGACCTACCATGTGACAACCCATCATGAGATGCCAGTGATGCGAGAGATCCTTTGCGCGTGCCAACCTGAAAGCACCTAGCTACGTGAGCGAGACCTTGTCTATGATGGCAGGGTAGTGAGAACCCTTTGCTTCAACCAAGCAGGGTAACAGTCGTAAGTGCCAGGAATGATAATTGCTTTGTTTTTGGGTTGGGGGTTCAAGAAATTGATTGAATTAGTATATATTGTATGTGTTGGTGCGTATTTAATTCTATACATGCACACGTTTGTTTATGGTTCATATTTATATGGATAGAATTGTTCGTTAGAACTATAGTTAGGCTTTACAAGTTTTTGAGCAGCCAGGTTTGGCAATAGAGGATGATGGTTGCTTTGGCTTGATCGCTTCTCGAAAGTGATTTTGCTCGTTTGTTCGCAACTTCTTTGTCGTTTGAGTTTTGTTCAGGACTTTTGGGCCCTACCTTTAGCTGAATCATCGGGTGGGCCAGCCCTATACTGTAAGTAAAATGCCGGGCTAGAATCTAGAATGTCTTGACTCTCTAGTGCATCAACCAACGTTGTTGAATGCAAGCACCTAACCAGAACGCGGATCACCATAAGATGTTCGTTTGGTGAACTTGGCATTTTCGTCTGTCGGGGTCAGCGGCCGCCCGCCCCCCAAAAAGCATCTCACAAATTTTAAGGTTAAGACAAGGCAAATGGACTTTTCTGAAAAGAGGCGAGAGTGGACAATAAAACGCTTCAGGCTGAGATGGTGCTTTCCCAAACTCAAGCTTAAACGAACAGCACTGCGAGTTGATGGTGGGTTTGCCCGGGAGTTTGGACAATGGAACTGGCAATTCGAAGTTTGGAATTCCCGTGAACAGCCTTTGTATATTTATGGTAAGCTGGCTGCCTCATCCACTATTTGTGGGGCTGGGAGATGTTGATAGAAAAGGATGATGTTTTTAGGAGAACAGGTCCGAGAATACCTGCAATGCTGCAACTTGGTGGGTCAACGTATAAGATTGTAAAAAGCATCAACCATGAGGTTGAACTTGAAGGCCAAGGTGCGACGGAGAAGGATTTGGCCGTGCTGTCCCGCACGACTGCATAACTATGAGAACCAGTTGCTGATACAGTTCCAGCCGTGTTGGGTTCTGACGCCCTCTTTCAACATGTTCAACTGACTGGTGAGAATGAAGAAATGACGATCTCACTATCTCACTATCTCACTGGCAGCCCACCAAAAATAATCATAGATTATGTTGGTCCTTAAGACGTCAACGCTGTTGGAGATGTCTTAGGACCCATTCCTTGTTTGCCTTTTTTGGCTCCATGTTGGACCTTGCGGCTAGGCCGCCATGTGCTGGATCTCAGCGCTGGAACTGGCCTGGTGGGCCTGGTGGCCCTAAGCGCCTTGACAGCCAGTGACAGGCCCTCAAATATCACCAGGTGAACACGAGGAGCAATGGTCCTACAGATGGATTTGGGGTACTTGAGCGGTGCTGCGAGCTTGAAGAGCAGCTTATTTCTCATGAAGAGGCTTGTGGGACAACCAAGGTGGGTCGGTGGTCTGATATGTCTTAATGCGTTCTAATATATTCTACTGAGATGCTAAATAGCATGCAAACCTCTCTTTTCTCGCCAGGATGTGGACTTAACTAAATGAGGGAAAATGAGCCAGATAAGTCACATCGCTAAGGTTTGGAAGCAGCCAGCGTGACTTGGCAGATGATGCTGTGCTGATGGGTGGACACCGCAAAATCGTCGTTGCAGCCAGGTTCTTGGACTTTCCTTGAAGCAAGGTGGTTTCCACTGTCGTTTTTGTCAGGTTGGGTCACCGAGTCCCCGAACTCGATTGAAGAACCCTTTTTTTATTGAACCATGATAACTTAGATGGTCGACTCAAGCTTGGCTTAGGCTTAGTCGAAGGTGAGACGTTTAGTCCAAGTCATCATGATCTCCTCGGTGTTTTCCAGGGCCTTGGTCCGCCTTGGTCCGGAGGACCTCAAAAATGGGGGGCCCGAGCCTGGAACGTTGGTGGAAACCTGCTTGAACCCTTCGGAACTCCAAAAGCTTGAAGCTTTGTGCCCAGGTGACCTTGACCGACCAGCAGCGAGTCCTTCCATTGCTGGCCAGGCCGGCGCAGTGGGTTGGTTTGATGCAGCCACTTCCAGCAGTGGATGGAGAGGGAAAGTGAGAAGACGGTAAATAATCATGTTGGACGGTTTGAGCTTGGCACGGCTGGTTTTTCATGATGATCCGCAATACCCCTTTGTCCATTGCCACATGTATATAATATATTATATAATATTATATAGTCAATTATAGTCACAATCAGATCTAAAGATAAAGGTGTTCTAGATTGAATATATACTGTATATATATATATATTGATCAATATCTGTGTATATTATTGTGCACTACGTAGTTGCGTAGTAGGTGGTGTGGTGTTTGCTTGCTCAAGTTTAGTGTCAGGAGGCTTGAGGTGACCCTGCAAGCCCATCGTCGGTTTGCGAGACTGGACCCCCCCCAAAAAAAGCAACTGCAGTAGGAGAAGGGGCAAAAGCCTGATGAATAGCCTCAACAATTAGCAACCTTTCTTTCAGCATCTTTCAGCTAGGCAGTTGCTCCAGTATGCGATTGCAGATTTAAGTGTAAGTAAAACAGGATCCCTCAAAGTTGCCTCACATACAACGTTTGCCAGGCTTCTGGGAGGCATGGGAGGTTGGCTCGAAAGCACCCAGCAAACTAGCCGCCTAAAGGACTTGATATTCGATGCGCGTTGAGGCTCCCGAGGATGTCACCGTGGTTACCGCCACTGCCACTGTAATTTTGAGCCCTTGCAAGGGAAGGTCGAGCTGCAGAAGACTTTTAGATATGTTTCTTTTTTATACTTTTTCTAGACTTCAAGAGCTGCTCAACCCTTTGGGGGACCTTTCGGCGCCTTGGATATCTTCGATCAGGAAAACTGTTTGTTGGTTGGCAGGAACGCCCTGCTGGCGTCCACGCCTGACGTCTCAAAGGCCGGAAAACGTTCCAAACCACGTGTACCGGGGTCGTTGGAGGGAAGCCTGTGGGATCCACACCTATTGGAGCCTCTGAATCGGGAATGTATTCACAGTGTTTGGGAGATGGCAGACTCATTCAAATTTCTTTCATGAACAGGAACGAGTGTTCGAATTGGACAATCTTTACAAGCTTTGGAAACTTGCCAGAACTCTCAACCTGGACTCTCCAACAGCCATTGTTTCAAGAACGTTTATGCCCAGCCAGCCAGAAGGGGGTGTTGCCCAAAAGTACTGAGTCAGCTACTAAGTTGCCAAACAATCTACACCCAAACATTTAAGCGTCCAAAGATGCAGGTCTGTACGGATGCAATCCTCATGGCATGAACCTTGCGTTCTCATTGGGTTCCAAGCTTATTGTGTTTGATCGCATGTGCGCATAATAATCCTTGATGTACTACATGTACAACATACATCCATATAAGTCATGGTGCTGTAACGTAAAACGGGCGACCTCACAAGCTGGGTGACCTCTCTCATTTTCTCTCTAATGCTGCGTTTCCATGCGGCCGGGTGGCTCAACCCATGCTGTAGAAGGAGACTTGCTGGCGCCTCATTCTCGTTGACCGCACGCATGTTGGGATTCTTAAATTGACATCGGCCACACGAGATCCATAAGGCATCCATAAGGCCCTTCGTTCACATCGTGCGATGAATGCGTGCCAAGGCAGCTGAAAAGCCATTCGCCGCCCATCTCAAGGCGAGTGCACCAGGGCCATGGCACGTAATTATACAGTGATCAACGGATGCACATGGTTGACACAGCGGACCTGGGCTGGGGCCCACACCCAAAAGCCATATCAATAAAAGATCCAAGTCAAAATTGGCAGAAGGCAAGCCAGAGAACCTGAACATGCGTTTTTTGGGGGCGTAACTCATGAGCGTCCAGGTTCGCGAGCTCTCGTGGGGCGAGCAGGAGGCAGAAACCTTTCGAGATGCTGAAGGCGCATCGATGATGCGCACGGTCGCTCAGCGGAGCGGCCTTCGCGGGTCTTCTCGGAGCGGCTGAGCGTGCCGAAGACCCGGGCGTTGTGTGTGTTTTTTACATTCATCTTAAATCCTTGCCAGCATTCCCGATCGAAAGAGCCAAGGTTCAACGGGCCATTTGGTCCGACGCGGATACACCAGGGCGAAAGTATTTAGATGGCGCCACTCACACGCAAAGGCTGCAAAGGTCTTAACATCCACCCTGCCCATCTCATCCAATCTATTGGAGACATGCCTTGGGCCTGAGTGAGACTTGTCAGGGCCCTTCGATTTGGTTCTTTGCTGCGAAGTGGTGTACCAGCAGCCTCCAGAGGCTTGGGGAGGGAGGGCCAAAGGTGCACCAGACATGTCAATCCGCCTCCTGAGTTTGGTTCCACGTCCAACTCCAAACCCTTTTCCTGAATTGGATGCAGTCCTTTGAGAGGGTGCATTGCTCAGTGGGGGCGAACAAATCTACGAGAAAAACAAAGACAGACCTTCCAGCGTCATTTGACAAAGTCCGCACTTAGTAACAAGTGCCTTACTAGTAGTATCGCTTCTAGTAACAAGTGCCTTACTAGTAATAACAAGAAGCTATTAGGTGTTCAACAAAAAATGGCATCAAACAGATGTTATTGTTAATGTCAACGACCATGCCGGGTGCGAGCAGTCGCGCCGTCCTTGCCGTGGCAGGTCTGGCGAGCTCTTCAGGAGACCCTCGGGAAGCTGCTCCGCCCGGGCGGGCGAGCCGTGTAGGCCTCAGGACGAAGAAACCTCATCGGTGCTCTTCTACTCTAGGTCCTAAGTTGTGTGTGCCACCCTCTGTTCCAAAGAGTTTTCAGAAAGCAGGGGCCCACCGGGCTCCCAGAGGAGCGGTGGCCAACGAAGACCTCCTCTGGGACCCGTGTAAACGTACCTGCATTTTTAACAACTGTTTAAACCGCCGTTTCGTGAGCTGCAGATGTGCACAAACCATTTGTTGAAACACCTTCAAGTCTTTGGACGCTTCGCCTTTCCGTCGAGCCACTCTTTTCCTCGGGGAATGGATGCAACTGCAAACCCATTGTCTAAGTGTGTGCCGCTCTGTCGTCCCACTGGGTGCAGAGTGTGATCCCCGTCCCTGGGGCGCCGAGTTCATGCCGGATTATCATGTAACTGATTTTGTTGTCTCCTGCACACGTTGGATTATCTTTCTTGATTTGAATGTTTCACCAATGAATTCCAAAACAACACCGCCGGGCATACGGAGATTTGAAGCCGCCGGGCATACGGAGAATGAACCCCCGCCGAGTTCTCTAACCCCACCTCTTCTTAGGGTAACAGAGGGAAATGGTACTCGACACACTTGTGTGTCGGTGCCTTTCCCTCTTTCGTCCCTGTTCTACTCTACTCTACTCTACCCGGGCGGTTTAAGACGAAAGTCCCGCTCCCTAACTATTGCACCTAATTAGCTTCCGCTAAGTATTCAGTAACTCTAGAGTGCTAGGTATTCAAACACACACACACACGGACACACACATGTACATACATTCCATCCCCGCCCCCCACTTTCGTTCTTACGCTTTTCGTCGTTTCTTGGGCCTTCGTTCAGGCTTTTTAGGTGGTTCTTGAGGCTCGTTTCCCTACCCCAGTCAAGGGCTAAGTAATCACTTTTTGTTACCCCTATCTTTCTCTCCTGCCCTTTTAGCCCTGCTCTTTCTGTTTTTCTTTCTCTCGTTTCTAAGGCTTTTTAGGTGCCTATTTAGGTTTTACGCGAGAGCGCCGCAAAGCGGCCGGATCTGTGTGTCACCCTCTGTTTCCAAAGAGTTTTCAGAAAGCAGGGGGCCACCGGGGTCCTAAACGTATCTGCATTTTTAATAACTGTTTAAAAAGCCGTTTCGTGAGCTGCAGATGTGCACAAACCATTTGTTGAAACACCTTCAAGTCTTTGGGCGCTTCACCTTTCCGTTGAGCCACTCTTTTCCTCGTCTTTCCCCCCCTCTCTTAAGGCTTAGTAAAGTTCCAGCATTTTGGTTGCCAGCCTCCTGCATGTCTCAGAGTAATGGGATATGCATCCAGAACTGTAGGATGCGGAACAGAAGCCTGCACTCTAACCTCGCCAATCATCTCCCACCCTGCTGCCCCGTTGTGGCTTTCTTGGTCTGAGGTCTTTGCCTACCAGCACCGTGATGGTGCAGAGGCGCCCGAACCACGGGAACCACGGTGGGCTGAACCCGCGCGGGCGCACCAAGAGGGGAGCCCATGGGAGCGGTGGCCGGTCGTGGCGGAAGCGTTTGATCAACTCCCCCAAGTGCCAAGCCTGCGAAAGAGTTGCAAACGGCACGTTTTACTTTGAGTGATACTTTGAGTGGAAGGTTTGTTGAGTCAGCCGGGTCAGGGTGTTGGCACATATGTTCAAATTCTTGTGTAATTAAGGTATATAGGTTTCTCCAGTTCCCGGTTGGGCTGATACTCACCCTCAGGATTGTGTTTGCTCAGTCTTTGTTGGTTCTTCAATGTTTTTCAGCTTCCTTTGCTTCTCAAGGAGCCCACTAAAACGTTGGCCTCCATGAAACCAACGCTCCTTTGCAGGTCACTGATGCACGCTTCTTTGAGACCTTGGAGGAGGCTTCAAAGCTTCAATTCCAGATGGAGGCCACCCAATTCCTTTAGGGGCGAGCTGTTGGGCAAACAGACGGAATGGAACTCACATGCTAAGCAGTATCCTGTTTAGTCACCTTAGGATGCTTATGTTGGGCTGCCAGCTTTGATATTGGATGATATTGGCATTGGCGAGGCGGACACCTGAGTGATGGATTTTGACCTTAGTTTTTCTTCATACTGACCACTAATTACAAGACTATGACTTTGACCATTCATTTGGTGAGTGAGTCCACAGTCCATCCCCTGTCCCAATCATCGACCGGAAGAAACAACCTGTGTGAAAACATCCCCTCCGCGGGATGTGCTGATGTGCTGATGGGGCATCTGCCCGCGACCATGCAGGAGTCCCTCAGTGAGTGGGACGGTGTTTGGGACGACCTCGAGCTGCGCTGGGTCAGGACGGGGTGCGCGTGGAGCAGAACTCCAAAAGGAACACAATCATCACAATCCGATGTGGCAAACACCTGGTAAGAAGGAATGTCTCATCTTGGGAGCCTTGGAACCTTCCAAAGAGGGTTGTCATATAAACAAAACTGAGGATGCTTGAGGCTCAAGGCAGCTAGGAGGAGTCTTGCTGAACCTCCAAATCGGCGAATCGATCACCGCTGTCATGTCCAGAGATTCAGAGATCTTTAGAGATTGAGTTTCGGAGTTCACAAGTTGCTCTAGTGGCCATGAAGCCTAGACGTGGAGAATGACCCCTTTGTAGAGGAAGGTAGTCTTGAGAAGTTTAACTTTCCATGTCTCTGTGAATGACCAGTCGTGTAGCTGAGCTTTGTCCTATAGATCATTGTTGAGGTCCTCAAGAATTCCCTGCCCTCCTGAAATGCAGGACCTACGTCTCCAGAAATGATTCGAGCCTCTAGACTCTAGAGTCAACAAAGAGCTGGCTTTCGTGAGATGGCGGAAGATCCTGAAGACCCCCACGAGAAGAGATCCAAAGCATGATGGAAGCTTCCCCAACAAGCACTGACTCAAGTGGCGGGCGACTGCTTTCGATTTCCGTTGCAGGATAGTGTCAAGCTTTCAAATGTCTCGCATATTGTTGGGGGGATGTGTATGGAAGACTTGGAGTTCCTCGACGTGGAGATGACCACAACCGAGAGCAGAACTTGTTCGGTTGCAATAGTTCAAACACATTGGTTCCATGGTTTTGAGTTTGAGCAGCGTCAGTGTGCACATGCGCTTGGGAGGTTGGGAGTTGGGAGTCCAGTTTTTGCAATCAGCAGATGGGTTTGAGAGACGGATACCTCCAGGAAAGTTGCTCCTCGAGCATGGTGTGCTTGAGTTGGTGGTTGGTGCAGTGGACTCCATGCTTCATGTTGCGATTGCCAGGAGGCCATCTCAATAAAATCTGCCTGCATGGAGGAGGCCATGAATGAAGACCCATTGCTTGGGAACTTGCTAGCGGCTAGATTGAATCCCATCACAAAAAACATCATCCTCCTAGTGCTTCAATCTCATGGCTCCTAGCAGTCCACCTGACCAACAAAAACAGTAGCAGATTCAAGTAGACCAACCGGCGAAGGGCGGAGTGCATGGAGCTTCAGTCATGGAGCTTCTGATGATTCACCCAAAACTTGAATCAAAAATGTCCTGGTAGCACCCAGGTGCCTTCATTGGACTTTTGCCGTTTGGTGTCACACTAGGACACCGAATTGGTCTTGACCCTTGCAAGATCCAGATTTACGAAGAAAGTCAAGGGACAATTGTAGGGCTTTCAGTGAACCTTTTGGACCTTTCAGACCTTTCTTTGGACCCAGGCGGGCATTCGAAGGCGCAGGAAAGTAGGCGAACCAGTTAGGTTGAAGAATCACTCAGACCTTTCCTGTTCTCAAGCGGTGAGAGCATCGTTTGTACTGCACCCCGAAGGCATTTTGCTGAAGTGAAAAAGAAGAGTTTTGGTTTGAGGGTTATGAGCCCAACCACTTTTTAGCCCGTGGTGGTGGGGCCGGGTCGCGCGCGATGGAGCGGGCGCGTTCGCTTCCACCAGCGGCGCCCCTGGTGAATCCTTGGTGGAGCGAGAAGATGAAGGCGGAAGCCTTGCTGCGCTCGAGGCGCCCAGAGGACCTGCCTGTCCCTCATGACGGGGACCTTGAGGTCGATGGTGAAGCAGCGCTTGAAGACAGCGCTGTGGGCTCGGTGACTGGGAAGGGGCGTGGTGCAATGTCCCTTGGCTCCCAAGGTGGTCGCTTGTTTGTGACACCGCCGAGCAACCATCGAGAAGGTCGCGGTGTGGGTGGAGGGGGGAAGAAGTCCGAGGGTGTGATGCCCAGCAGTGGAGGATCTTCGGTCGAAGCCACCAAGCTTTCCATGGGTAGGTTGGCACCGAAGTCACAGGGCCCGGTTAGTGACCGACCGGACGACCCTGGAATCAGAAATGGTGACATTCCTGAGCGAACAGAATGCTCAGTTGATGAAAGAAGTAGAGTTGTTGAGGAAAGGTCAGCTGCATGGTCATGGTAGTGGCCCCTCTTCGACACCGTCTTCATGGGAGCAAGTCGAGCTGCCGGGAGGTGGGGTGACAGGTGCTGCTGTTTCCAAGGAGCCTTCGTCCTGTCACGAAAGGAAACCCATGAAAGGTGATCCTCCAAGAACGCCTAGGGGAAGAAGTCCAACCACTAGAAGGAGTATTCCCCGGTTCACACCAAACGGGACTCAAGTGCCGCCGGATGCACCACCTGCTGAAGCTTTGCCGGAAGTGCCATTGCCTCCATTTCCAAGCAACTCGGCTGAAATTAGTTTGCAAGCCTACACCTCGGTGGAAAGTCATGGCCGCCGTGGGGATTCGCAGTGGTTGCCGGAGAGCATGCGAGATGGGCAAGTGTTCGTTCCACGTGATGCTCGAACATCCAAGCTGGAACAAGAAATTGAAGCATTGAAGCATTCGGTCGCTCGCATCACGGAAAGTGCCGCTGCACCTGTCGCTTCGTGCTCGCATGACATTCCACCTGCCTCGACGACAAGTGGATCGTTTGTGGGCCTTCATGGACATGATCTTCGGGAGCTTAACCATGTTTTTGGGGTGGGCATGCATGGTCCGGAACCGCGTGAATGCGCTCGTGTTTGTCCTCCTGGTCCAGGTGGTGAATCTCACGATGATCGGGCTTGGCAAGCTTCTAGGTGTGATCCTTCGCGGTCAGCGGAGGGCATGTTTGGGCCTGCGGCTGGACATGGACCGCCGGATGATGGTGGCTATGGCTGCTGGCGTGTTGATGGGGGCCCACCAATGGCTCCGCTCCCATGGCAAGATGGTGGAGGAGGTAGCAAGGCAGAGCTTGCACCTCTTGCAGCGGACGCATCACCTCTGGATTTGGGAGATTGGTTAGCGGTTTGCGGCCCTGTGCTTCGTGATTTGTCGGCCGTGTCGGCAAGGTGGTGGAATCTTACCCTTCGTGAAGCCCAGGGCTACTACGACCGTTGGAAGCTGGCCTCACCACTTGAGCGGGTTCAGATAGATCCACGGCTGCCAGACGAACTTCTGGACCTTCGGTATCAACGTACCGAACAACGTGGTGTTCACCTTCTGCCCAAGGCAATTCCAAGTGACCAGCAACAGGCACTGATCACGGCAAGGGAGTTGACTTCCACAGCCTTGCTCTACAGGTTGCTGATTCGATACCAACCTGGCGGTGCTGGTGAAAAGGCCATTCTCTTGGCCAAGCTGACCACGCTGGACAAAGCAAATGGTGTGGCAGAGCTTGCAGCCACTCTACGATCTTGGCGAAGACATTTCGCCAGAGCCCAGGAAGTTGGTGCAATACTTCCTGATGGAACTTTGCTTCTCAAAGCGCTCGAGCCGGCGGTGACACAAATCTCGGCCATGGACTCGCAAGCGGCTTTCCGTTTGGCCCAGAGCCGTTTGCAACTTGGGGTGGATCAACAGCCTCATCATGGAGGTGTTTGGCGGTTTAGCCAATGTTTGTTGGCAGAGCTTGAAACTTTGTCCCTGTTGAGTACGACACCGTCTTCCTCATCTACGCCAGTGAAGGTGAAGCAGCTTGATGTCCAACAAAAGCCAATAGGCGCTGTTTCTGGTGGGGGTGACAAGGACAAGGGCAAAGGCACCTCTACTGTGGGTCTTCCGTGCCGCTACTTCAGGTCTGATGGTGGCTGCAAAGCGGGAAAGAATTGCAAGTGGTCTCATGCCTGGGATGGCATTACTGATAAGGCCCAACGTTGCTGGATCTGTGGAGCCAAAGATCATCGCAAGTCTGACTGTAAGTTGAAGGCTCAGACAAAAGGCTCTCCATCCAAAGATTTCAAGGGCAATGGTGAGCCGAGTGGCGGCTCAGGGGGAGGCAAGTCATCTTTCAATGCAGCGGCCTCCACTTCATACAATACTGGTGGCAAGCAGTTTGCTTCAGGTGGTACAACGTCCACTTCAACTCCGGCCAAGCTTCAGGAGATGGAGGTGCCATGCTCTGACGGTGGTACAGCTGGTTCAGGGGATGGGCAACCGGGGGAGGTGGATTCCAAAGGTGAGACTGGAGCAACATCTGGTGAAACCTTGCTCCAGGAGGCAACAAAGCTGCTCAAGTCACTCCGAGCTCCTCAACTTCGTGTGATAAAGGTGAGTCAGTTGGACCATGACAGCAGCGGGGCAACAGTGCTTCTGGATTCAGGTGCAACTCATGCATTGAGGCCAGCCTGCAGCATGGAAGAATGGAACAGTGCCTCACCAACACAGGTCACTCTTGCAGATGGAGTCACCGACAAGCTCAGGTTGAAGCAGGACTCCAGAGTGCTCCTCTCGCCTCCAAGCGATGAAGAATGGGGCCAGTCATGGATTGTCCCACTTGGTGGCATAGCAGAGTTGGGGTACAAGTTCGAATGGAAAAATACCCAGTGCACCTTGGTCGATGAAGAAGGACATGATCTTTCGGTGTTCCTCCATCATGGCTGTCCAATGGTGCCTCGCGAAGTTGGCCGGGCCATGATTGATCGGTTGGAGCGGCAGCAGATTCGACTCCTGCGCAACCCATCTGCTGAACTCGATGCTGGTGAACCCGTCCATCGATGTGATGAAGTCAATTCAGCAGTCGACCGAAATGGCCTTGACCTACAAGCTGAAGAAAATGTTCGACGCCCTGCCTGATGAGGTGTTGATGAGGGTCATTCCAGACCTGTCCAACCTTCAAAGCCTGGACGGGAATCTTCTCCCGTGGAATCGAAGGAAACGTCGAAGATTGGAGCGGGCAAAACAAATCGTGCTGCACCTTTTTTCAGGGCCCGATTCCAAGTACTGGGAGAAGACGCTTCAACAAGGCAACGTCGAAGTCTTGTGTGTGGATTTGCATGCAGAGATTGCCGCGGACTTGCGTGACAATCAGGTCTACAAGTACCTCTTGTCCCTCGCGGCCTCTGGAAGGGTGAAAGCAATCTTTGGCGGCCCTCCCTGCAGAACGGTATCAGCTCTGAGATACCAGGACGATGGTGGTCCGGGCGTTGTGCGGACGGAAGAGCATCCTTATGGCCTCCCGACATTGTCTTCGTCGGACAGGGCTTTGGTGCTTGGCGACAGTGTCCTATGGTTTCGGATGCTCGCTTTGTACATGCTGTGTGAAGACGTCCGCCATGAGAAGGAGCCTCAAACTGCTTTGGCTGTTGAACAGCCGGAGGACCCCGCCAGATACCGCCCCCAAGAAGAAGTACAAGAAAAACAGTTCATGTCAGTATGGAGGACTCAAGAATGGCAGGACTTTGCTCGAGCCTACAATGTCCGCACGATCCACTTCGACCAAGGACCTATGGGTCATGTGCGAAAGAAACCCACGACGTTAGCAGTGGTTCTTCGGGACATCCACGCACTGGATGGTGTTCGCGGTCCTCCCAGTGGTGCTGGCATTGAAGGTCATCAAGAGCACGGCAACATGTCTTTGAAGGAGCGTTGTGAGGCTTCCAAACAATGGGCTACATGGGCCCCAGGACTGAAAGTTGCTTTGGCCCTAGCATTACAAGACCATCTTCAACGGGGGGTGACACCATCTTTTGAAGCTGCTTTGCGCCCTCTTGGTCAAGTCGCCCTGGAAGGATGGCGGAATCACTATCTTCATGATCACACGCCAGCACGCCGTGATTGCAAGCACTGCGTCAAAGCCTCAGCAAGAAGCAAACCCCATCGTCGAATTTGCCATCCCGAAAGCTATACTTTGAGTGTCGATCTTTCTGGCAAAATGGTTGTGGGTCAAGATCAAAGCCGCCACGACTGTAAATACATGATGGCGGCGGTGTACACATTTCCGGTGGACGGAGCTGGGCGATCATTGGTGGAGTCAGTCGAATCATCAAGTGCTGACACCATGCCGCTGGTATCTGCTGATGAATACACTCCCACGGAACCTGGGGGTGAAGACCCGGGTGAGGCCTACTTGCCGGAGGAGGAGTTCGAACCGGATGGGATTCCGGGGGAGTCCGCCGTTGCTGAACAGAAGGGTCAGTCGGCATTTGCAGCTTGGCAAAAGGAGGTGGAAGCAGCACAAGATGTTCAAGTCCGCAATTTAACCTTTGTGGAGGTCCTTCCTGGCAGAGCAGTTCATCACATTCTTCCTGCACTGGCACGCATTTATGCCAGATTGAGAAGCCTGGGGCTGCCGCTGTACAGGCTTCACTGTGATAGGGCTCGAGAGCTGATCTCGGCGCCGGTTCGTCGTTGGACCTTGGATCGCGGGATTGTCACAACTTTGACAAGTGGCGACTCGTACAAATCAAATGGGCGGGTCGAAGGTGAACTGGGGGTGGTGAAGAAGCATGTCAGGACCATCGTCGCGGCCTCGGATCTTGGGTTGGAAAGCTGGCCATTGGCTGCAATCCACATCGGCGAACGGAGGCTTCGATGCCAGCTTCGGAGTTGTGGCATCCCGGTCGGCCCTCTGCTCCAGTTTGGGTCTCGGGCATACGCCCTGAACAAATCGTGGCAGGACCGCTATGAACCATGGCGGGAGATTCGTGATGAAGTGATTATTTTGGGTCCAGCCATCCAATCCTCGATGACTTCAACCAGCTACTATGTCCAATCAGTGGAAACCAAAAGGTATTTTTTCACTGATGATGTGGTGATCCCAAATCCTGACCAACCTGAAGCGGGTGATGCTTTGGCCTATCTGCCGGAGATTGATGGCGGTGGCTCTCATCCTCGGCCTCTTTGGGACGGCCAGATCCCTCGGCGCAGGCTTCGCGAGAAAACTGCGATTCCGTCATTGTCCATGCTGAACATGGAGGGGGAGCTAAGTGGCCAGGTGCAGAAATGGCTGTGCTCCCATCGTGATGCTTTTGATGTACATGCTCCAAATGATGCTGAACTCTTTCGCTCAGAATGGAGCAGCGATAGTTGGACCATCGAGACGCCATCGAACTCATCTTCGGAGGCCAGTGAACGGGACTCCCAGGGCACACAAGGTTCCGTGGCGGGGATTCGAAAGGCGGAGGGGATGCGGAGGAGGCGCCAAACAACTGGGACGGTGGCTCAAGCCCAGTGGCCTCACTAAAGCGATTCGTGCCTGGGAGGACCCCGTTCACTCGGCTTCAGTTGCTCCGTTTCGTACAAGCGAACTTGGCGGAGTATGTGAAGGAAGAAGCAGGCCATGTGGACATCACCAACCTTGAGCAGGGGTGGTACATGGGGGCTTTGTCTGAGGCCATCATGAGGAAGGTGGAGATCGAAGAACAGCTCCTCCAGAACAGCCAGGAACAAGAAGCCATCACTTGCAAAGAGCTGGAGGAAGAATTCTTGGTCACAAGGACTATGAGCAATCGAGAGGTCATGGATGACTTCGAGAACTGGATTCCAGCCATTCAAGCTGAGTACACACAGCTCGTCCAGTCCAAAGAAGCGGTGCATCAGCTTTCAAAGAAGGCACTACAAGCCAAGGCAGAAAAGGAAGGCAAAGTCATTGAACTTCTCCCTGCCAAGATGGTTTATACAAGAAAGGCAGGAGCTGGGACGAGACGGGCAAGAGCCGTATGTTGCGGCAACTACTCGGACACGAGATTCAGCCCTGACTGCTACGCTGGAGGCGCTGATGGTTGCCAAGTCCGAGCTCTCATTCGAACTGCAGCCCTGAAGTCATGGTCAGTAGCGGCTACCGACATTCGTGTCGCCTTTTTGAACGCCCCAAGAAGAGAGGACGGCAAATTGGTGGCCATGGAGATTCCCCAGGTGTACAAGCGCCTTGGCCTGGCACGTGAAGGAGAAGTTTGGTTGGTCAAACTGGCGATGTACGGATTGACCACCTCTCCACGTGATTGGTCGCAGTATCGCGACAAGACATTGCCGTGCATCAGCTGGGTCAGAATGAGGGAGGACAGAAAGGTCCGAGGCTACTTCGTGAAAACCGCCGACGAGAACTTGTGGCGGTTGGAAGAGACGGATGTGGTCTCAGGTGAGTGCCATTGGACGGGCCTGATGTCTGTATATGTGGACGACATCCTGTTGACAGGAGAAGAAGCAGCCATCTCATCAGCTCTCACCTCCTTGCAATCCACGTGGGCGACGTCAAGCGTGGAATGGGCTTCATCGCAGGACCCTGTTCACTTCTGCGGCTTTGAGATCAAGGCCGATGGAGGAGGTGATGGTTACCATCTGTCCCAACAAAAGTATGAGCAGGAGATTCTTGTCAGGTGGAATGTGAAGGAGAGCTCAACCTTTCCCAACTTCAAGATCATGGAGGAGGATTTTGGGGAGAAAGGGGAGAAGGACGCGCGCTTGATCAGAGAAGCTCAGGCAATGGCAGGTTCGCTTTGGTGGCTCTCCACCAGATCAAGGCCGGACTTGGCCATGGGGGTAGCATCAATAAGTCGGCTGATGACCAAGAACCCCAAGAAGGCGATAGAGGTCGGCCAGATGCTGCTTTCCTATGTGAAAGGCACCCCGGGAGATCTTCACTACACCGGGAAAGTGCATCAGCTATGGGGAGCCCGAGGACAGTTGAAGATCCCACGTCATGGGAAGCTCATAGAAGTGTTTGCCGACATTGCCTATGGCACGGGATCTGGACACCGCAGCATGCAAGGTCTAGCGATCTTTTTTGCCGGAGCACCCATAGCATGGCAATCTTCATCCCAGCCATTCGTGACCCACAGCACAGCAGAAGCAGAGCTTGTGTCGTACTGCGAAGCCCTGACAGCAGGACGTGCCACAGAATCCTTGCTGTGCTCTATGTGGGGGGAGAAGCTGGAAAAGAATGACACCTTTGATCGGGTGATCTACGGCGACAACGCCGCAGCGATAGCACTGGCCCATGGGAATAGCACCGCATCCTGGAGGACAAGGCATCTGCGGGTCAGGTCGAACATCCTCAAGGAGGCCTTGGAGAGCGACAGTGCCTATCCAGGAGGAGCTTGGAAGTTGATGCACCTCAAGGGCACTGAGCTGGTTGCTGATGGGCTCACCAAACCGCTCCTGGGTCAAAGTTTTCACAACTTTTTATGTGATTTGGGCCTGAGGGTGGGGGGAGCTAGTGTAAGAGCGCTTGGGGCCGCTGAACATCGACCTCCTCAATTACAAGAGCAGAATAATGGCGAGGGTCGACGACAACCTCAAGTACAAGATCAGGCGGGGGCGCTTCGAGCTTTGGCGGCTGGCAGCATGTTGGTGCAGCTGGCAGAGGCGCAAGGGGAAGTTGAACCAGAGTCAACTTTTGGGCTCCTATGGACATGTGGTATAGTGCTGGTCATCATTGGGGCAATCTGGGTGAGCAAGTGTGCATGCACGTCCGTGCGCTGCTGTTTGCGACGATTGCATGCGGTGATCAGTGAGCCACCCGACCTGTTGGAGCTTAGTGAAGATGATGAAGGGACAACTCCTACATCACGGAGATCGAAGAGGGGAAGTTCGAGCTCACTGGCCAAACAGAAGGCCAGATCATCGCCCGTGGCAGAACATGAGGAAGCCAGCAAAGAGACGTTCAGTGATGGGATCAGAGGCCGAAGACGGTCTCGAGCCCGGAGCACTGAAGAACCTTCATCCAAACAGAGCCCTTCCTGTCAAAGAACAAGGAGACAGTCGGGCTCATCCAGTCGCTCTTCTTCAAGACCGATGAGGCGGCAATCAGATTTCTCCAGCCGCTCGTTGTCCCGGTCTATGAGGCCATCCGCTAGCAGCGATGCCAGCGAAATCACCGCAGCTGTGTCAAGTGCTGTGGGCAGTGTGGAGAAGGCGGCGGAGAGCGCGCATGTCGCTGCCGAAGCTGCTGATCGCGCGGCCGCCAATGCAGTGAGAGCTTCACGGCTTGTGCGCCAAGCCATGGCTAAGCCAAAGGCTGCACCTCCGGCGGACCCGCATCCACAAAATCCGTGGAACAGGTTTCAAAGAGACCATGCTGGTAGAGGGTGGTCCATGGATAGGCTCCGTGCGGAGTACTTCAAGGCGAAATGCCGGAAAACTTTGCCTTGAGCCAGGGCATTTCGCACTTTTGAGCCCTAAAGTTTCGTCAATAGACGAAAGGGGGAGTCTCAAGCGGTGAGAGCATCGTTTGTACTGCACCCCGAAGGCATTTTGCTGAAGTGAAAAAGAAGAGTTTTGGTTTGAGCCTGTAATCAAAACCCACTTCAGACCCTAAGCACTCTCCCACCTCAGAATTTTGCACATGCGCATGGCGCCCCGGGCTACGTGGCGCATCCGGTGTTTGCTTTGGCCATGGCCTTTGGCGCTGGCGCTTGGGTGGAGCTTCTCAACGCCCGTGCCAACCCGTGTGCCCGTGGAACGGCGAAGCTCGTGGCTTGGAGGAAGAGATGGATGGAGGCTCATGGCATCTCATGGCTCCCAGCTCGAGGGAGGGAGCCTTTATATATAGTTGAACTTCCAAATTCCGAACAAGTTCAAGACAGTTCCGATGTGGTCTGAGGCAGTTAGAAGCCACCTTCGATGATCTCTGGACATTGCTGGCAGAACGCGAAGAGGCCAGAGTTGATGGAGTGGATTCTTGGCAAGATTTCGACCAGTGTGCTGGGAAGTCGCTTTAGGGCCCAACAGCGGAGCCTCACAAGTTTCCACTTTTAAGTTGCGGAAATGTCCAACGGGCTGCAGCCACAATGCAACCCCACCATCATTTTATGTATAATTAGACCAACTTACAACCAACACCAACGAGGACCATCGCGACCAACAATTGTAGAAAGAAAGGTGTAACAGGAAACTGCATAAGACCTCCTAAGGACACCTCCCTCCATGAGCTCTTTGCGCCCAGCCCGCGGAGTGCGTGGCAAGAGCTACAAGCGCTGGTGACGGGAAAGGACGAAAGGGATGGTGCTGCGATGGGTAGTTAAAACAAACCGGGAGAGATCCCTATAGTTAGTTTGTAAGGGTTTTCTTGTGGCGTATATGAAAAAACTATGAAGAAGGATGCAGTAACGGTACTGTTGGGCACTCAAAGCACAGGAAGGAGGGATTGTTTTGGGTCAGCCAGTTTTGCGATGTCGCGCATGCAGTTTGCAGTGCGTTCAGCTAGTTGACCTTCACAAACATATTCGGTGGAACGTTCTTAGACCTGCTTGCGGAGAGTAATGCCACTCCGCTTGGGCCGTGCCCGATTCCCAGCATGAAACACTTCCCAACAATCATCAAAATAGTTTTCCTTGCTAACATATCCGATGGGTGGTCGATGTATAGTTACCCAATCTCGTGATGCTGATAGTGCTTGAAATGCAATTGGCATCAATGCGCATTACAAGCATATTGCATTGGCAAGGTTTTCATGGGTCACTGAAGGAGGAGCCGGTGGGCTTGAACGACATGAAGTGCGTCAGTCTCAGGCATCATGGTCGCATCCTCGTCTCACAGACGAACCCATTGGCACGACCTTTTCCCAAACGGTCCAAACGCCTTCAACAATTGCTGCAGCTGTTGATCAAACCGAAGCTTTCTGCTTGAAGCCTTCATGGCCGAGGTTGGATGGTTGCATGTTTGGCCGCCTCACGCGGCATCTCCGCCAGATTGGCCTCATCGGCCCAGGCTATTCGAAGGAAGAGCCGCAGCGGTGGCACCTCATCGTATGATGCATATTGATGCATACCCTTGCGAGTCAATCCATACATTCTCTCATGCAGTTCTTCGATGTTTCTATGATGATATGAAGAACAGGTTTGGGCAAACGTTTCAGCGATTACTCATTGCTCGGAAGTCAAACACTTGACTTCTTGTTACTACTAGCGTCCTTGTTACTACTAGTAAGGCACTTGTTACTAGAAGCGATGCACTTGTTCCTAGTAGCGAACATTGTTACTCATTGCTCGGAAGGACATTGGAGAGATTATGCGCCTTTGCTGTCGCATGATGATGGACGAGTTCAAAGGTGGGAAGCACAATCGGCAGGGCTCAGGGGTATTCCACAGCATGGGGTAGCAGCATTTCCTCCTTGTTTAATGCTTTTCTCGCGGGAGTGGGGGCAGGCAGGTTCGTTGAGACTGCCAACCGGGAGGGCGGTTTCAGGAGATGCGACATGGATGAGCAAGGTCTTTGACACATGGGATGTGAGCTCCCACTCGGGTGAAACACCTGTTCTCCCCATTTGAGTTTGAGCAGTGGACCAGTCATGGGGGTTGAGATGGGAAGAAGACAGCATGAGGGCTTTTGGAAGTGCGCAAGACACCGATCCGAATGGGAACTGTCAGAAAATCAGCCGGACATTGTGAGGACTGGTCAGTCAAACGCTACATGCGAACTTGCCATGACTCGGGCCGCCATGGGATATATTGGGATGCTATGGGGCGCACCTCCAGGAAACGTCGCCTACACCCACAGCGATGAGATGACCATCCTGATGTTTCCGCACAAAATGGGCCGCCGCTTTGATCTTCAGCGGAGTTGGGTGACCATCACAAAAGATATGTGCGAGCAAAGTGCCTGCCATGTCACCGTTGAACGTGTCGGCTTTGTGATTAGCCTGGCATGAGTAGATCCAGCACAACCGCAAACACTCAGCTGCTGTCAACCCCATTCCACTGAGGACCAGGGAACAGCTTTCAGTGGCCTCACAATGGCCGCATTCAGAAATGGGTGAGCAGCCAGACCGCAAGAGGTTTCTGGTGATGGAGCTGGTGGCGCGCTTGGGGTGCCAGTGACGTCCAACAGTCTTGAGCCCAGAGCTGCCACCGCAGCCGGGTTATGGCGGGCTTGCCTGTGCCCTCCTGTTTCCTAGCGACATCGGTTGGACATGGTTGAACCACTGCGCTATGATAAGAACAAGGCCTCTATTTGTGCCAGCTTGTAGGGCCACTGTACGACAATGCATGATGGCCGCTAGACATTTGATATATGTATAGCAATCCTGAAGTACATAGAATACGGAATTGGAGGTCCAAACCCTACATGGGCATCTTCCGGAATTGAAACCGAAACGGGTACTTGGAATACAAAAACATCTTCCGGAATTGAACCAAAAAAAGTACTTGGAATCTCGTGGATTGTGAACACTTGACATCTTCAGGACCTTTGTATCAGTAACCTCTTGTTGCAGCCATTCTTGCTTGACAAACGCCTAAGGGGTTAGAACGTTCATGTTTATGCTGATTGAACATCTACTTTGTCAAACTACTTCTCTATGCTTTGTACATCGTCCTCAGGCGGGAACGCAAGCGGGACCGAGCGGGAGCGACCTTCACTGCGCTCCGTCCGAGGCATCGGCTCCAGCATGGTCACTGCGCTCTTCAACCGCCAGCTTAGTCAGCTGGCTGAGGCGCTGGTGTGAAGGGGACGAGGGCGGGCGCCCTTTTTCGAGGGCGAAGAAAGATCCCCGGTGCTTGGAGTTTGGAAGTCCAGAACTCCGAAAGGGCACTACTTGGAGTTTGGAGGGGCCTGAGTTCAGCTTGAGGGCCTTCAAATAGCTTAAAGATTGCTGATGGAATCGCAGGGAAGCTGGTGCAGAATGTTGGAGCGACAACCGCGTGTGAGGCACGTGGCATCACGCTGCCGACGGATATCGTCGCCCATTTTGACTGTCGGGTCGGGCTCTTCGACTCCGATGCTTGGACGGGAAATGATGCGAACACCAAGCTGGAGATCACCGCATGTTGAGACATACTCATCTTGGTGTCAGTGCTCACATGTTTAATTGGGTCATGTAGTGTCATGTAGTAATTTCTTGATGGTGCACCTAAATCAGCACTTGGAGAAGAGCAGGCGGCTGTGGCTCCAAAACATCGGTTTGTTGATGTCCATGTTACCCCATGATACCCCATGCATTGTGTTTTTTCCTTTTTAGTTTAGCCACCGCAATTTCGGGCCGGGGTGTGCGGACCATGTAGGAGTGATGTTGGTCTCGAGCTCGCTGGTGCTGCGCTGTGAACAAGCTACCGCCTTTTGTTCTCCAAACCTGTATGTGGTACCAACTGTGAGACTGCTCTGGAAGCGCGGTCGCAAAACAACAAGTGGAGACTTGTGGGGAAAAAGAGGTGCAACGTTTCATCCTGATATACCTCATTGCAAGGGTCTTCCCGGATCAGTGCATAGTTGAAAACCACAGAGGGCTGCAGTGGGGATCGTTAAAGGAGTATATTTGCTTTTGTAAGTGTCTGCTCGAGGAGAAGGAAGCCCTGTCTTTGCTCCTGTGGCGAGCCTATGACTGCAGCGTGAACTGCGTTCAAGATGCATGTTGCTGGGCGCCCAACGGAAAAAGCTTGGGCATACCCTTTGTTGCCTAAGTCCGAAAAAGTGTTTAAAAAGGGTTGCCAAATTCAACTGTTGGTGAAACTTGTTGTCGTCAGGTTTGGCAATTTGTCACAAAATGTCATGTGAATCAAGTAAAGATTGCCAGTCTAAAAGTACTGAGAAACCCAATATGTGTGTTGAAACGGTCCCTCATAGGTCAAGGGGGTTCATGAAACACCCATCGCGGGCCGAGATATGGGGATATATAGATATATGTTTTATATGATATATGTCCAACTCTGAGTGTAAGCTCGATATTTGACCAACAGAAAACTGCAAACTGATGTGAGGCCATCATCAGGGTGCTCCCCTCGAAGTTGTCCGGAGCGAGACTTGTCTTGCCCGAAGCTCCGGGGATGAACTTGTATTTGATATGCTTTCAATTTTATCCTGTTGATCCCAAATTGGTGCCTTTGATCATGTTTGACACAGTTCATCACAGCCCACTGATCCAAGATTATGCTCCCATTTTTGTTGTCCTTCTTTCATGGCTTGCGCAGAAGTGCCACGGGGACAGTCGACGGAAGAATGTTCCTGCACCAGCTGGGAGCCGCAAGACAACTCTTTGTGCTGGTTTGCTTTACGTATCCAACCAATTATAGATATATAGAATTTTCATGAATTTTCACAACTTGTTATCAACATGTCTAATTTGTCTCTTAATAGTTTATTTCCGGGTGGTTGTAGCAGATGGGGGCGCTTTTGGGGTATGTCAGGCATCTATGTATCAAAAGAAAACTACTCGCATGGAACGTGGAGATTCCACTGCTCCTAACTGTAGAACTTTGAACCTCGTTGGATGCTGCCTACCTGCTTCGCTTAAATGGCAGTTGGGCTCGTTTCCCATCAGAAGCAGTTGAACAAATCAGTGCTCACGGAGTGCTACCAGGATTTCGCGAAGAAGCTGCTGTGGCTGAAGGAGGCGAAGCTGCTGCCATTGGATCCTCATCAGGCGTTGTGGCCTCAGATCCATGTGGGGGAACTGATGGGAACTGTAGATATGTTCCAGATCAGTGGAATGACAACAAGGTGAAGGTCAAGCCTTCGCGGAAATTGTGCACGACCATGACTTGAAGCTTGACCCGCAAACCATGCAGCTCAGGTATGGCAGCATGTTTGTGAAGGGTGAGGGCACGTTCAAAGTCAACGTGAGTGACACCAACCAGACAGTCATTGTGAAGCGAAAGGCTGGGGCTGTGGGAGCTTGACGGTGCTTCCTGGTAGTGATGGGCCCGGGACTGCCCCAGAGCCATTTAACATCACCTTGTCGCTGAGCTTTGGTACCTGGTGCACGCTGTTTGTGCTTCGGGCTAGCCCATGGGGCGTGGTCTGCCGCCTGCAAGGTTCTGCCTGGGCCTGCAGTGCATTCGCCCCGAAAACTGCTGGATGTTTGGATCACCCAAACGAGCCGTCAGGTCCTGCAGGCCTTGTCCCCCAATCACCTGCAGCATTTGGGGCTCAAGCCGTGCGCTGCCATAAGCTGAGACTCGTGAAGCATTTTCCCACCATGTCCAGCCTCTTAGCCTAGAAAAGGTACATGTGAGAGAACCTAGTCTTGGTTGCTCTTGCTTTGTTGAAGGACCCTTTGTTCATAGGCCCCCACGACGCCTCACTTGACTAACTTGAGGGCCCAATTGGTGGTTGTCATTGTGTTTCCCAACTTTCCTTTGAACAGAGTGGTTTTCGGGGGTGCGAAGGGATCAGCAAACCAGATAAGAATTACTGCTCCAGACCAAGAAGGCCTCACAGACAGACATACGATAGACATACGCACAGAGAGAGAGAGAGAGAAGTGATATAGGTATACAGGTATACATACATCAAATAGTTTGGATGCCAGCCAGTGATGCACACCTTAATGGAAAATTGGACCGCTTCGGATTTGTGCAGCGTTGCCCGCTGCCCATTTTCACGTGTCATGCTGAGGCTTTGACGCCGAGTGCCGCACAGCTGTGCCAGAGTCAGTACGCCATGCCTTGTTTTTGAAGGAGGAGATCCCTGCAGAGAGCAAAAGACATGGCATGAGTCGGGAATTTATCTGGAACACCTGGACAGATGCAATTCTTCATCATGAATACGTTCTTCCCTTGCTGGTGTTGCGCCAGGAGATTGCAAAAATGTCCACAGATCGTTCAGAGGAAAGCAAGCAGGCGGAGCAGAAGGGTGGCTCCTTGGAAAGGTGGCAGGGCCCGTACTGGTGGAGGTCCCTAAGGGATGGCAAGAGTCTTGGCTCAGAATGTCAAGAGTTTGTTTGATGTTTGGTCTTCCGCCAAAATGTTTCCTTCATTTTGGCCAATCCCAGGAGTGGACTTGTACCGCGTCCCTGAAGAGAGTCACCTGCGCTGGGCGATGAGTGACTTGTACAGCTTCCGGGGCTCGATTCAGCAGGGCTCTCCCTCTGTGTTTTGCCGACCCATCAACCACACATTCCAGGCCCCGGCACTTGGCTTTCTCAGCATCAACCGACAAGTGATGCAAACGCAATAGCCCTGCTGAGAATCACTTGATCCGCTTCCATGGAGGAACCATTCATCCGCTTCAGGCATCCGAAGGCAACTTTGGGATGCCCAGAGTTTTCGTGCTCATTTCAGCAGCAATGGGAAAGCACTGCATGTGGACAGAACGCAAGTTGAGGGAGTTCCGTTTGTTTGGCCATGCCGTATCCTCACCGATATATATATATATATACCCGCCATCTATATAAACGTCATGAGTTTGGATAATTTTAGGGGTCTCGTTGAGGGAGAGAGAGAGAGAGAGAGAGGGGAGAGAGAGCTTCATTTGTAGATTCACCGTGGCGTGCTTGGTTGGCTTGCCTTGATCCTGGATCACCACGTGCTTGCGTTGTTGCGCCATGGGCCTGAGTACAGTCAATCATGTCATATACGCTCCCCTCAGTATGATATGACACAGCTACGTGCAAGGATCATTCAATGAACGGCGGCAGATGCACCAGTTGAGAGGAGCGAAAGGATTCATGGTTCATATTCCAAACCTTGGTTGGATTGGCATGAGCAGTTCTATGGAATCGTTCCTTTTGTCGAGGGACGGATTCCGCCGGACCGCTGGAGTCGCAGAATTCAATGTGAAGGTGGTATGGGCATTGCGTGGTATGGGCGGTGTTTGTTTGGTTCATGTGAATGTCCCTGACAGCTGCAGAAACACATCCGAGTGACAGTCGGTTTTGGTGCTGTGTTGGGTGTTCGCCCAAAGGCTAGGGGCAATGCCCACCAGAAGTGGCCCCGAGATCGCTCATGGGAGGCGGATGGGTAACAAAGGGCACATTGAACCATGACTCATATCAATACACGGGTATACACCGATCAATTTTTGCTCACACAACCCAACATGCTTCCAGCTGACGTATCGCTTTTGGAAGTTGCTATGAGGGCTTTGCAGCCAAATTGCCCAGAGTGACCTCTAGAGATCTTTTGACTCGGGCTTTCCCCTCCCTTGTCCCATCCAGCCACCCCATGTACAAAGCTTTCTTTCACCCATGGCTGTCGTCACAGCCCACGGGGGATTTGGGGAGCTGAGCTTTTGGAAGAGTCAAGTCAAGTCAGATATTCCAATTCCATGGCGACCGAGCGCTTGCCAGGTTGAACATGTTCAAGACTCAAGCCGGTAGGGGTGTACAACCAGGATTTTTTCTTTTTGTGGATTGGCTGGCTGAGATCCTTTGAGCCGTAGACTTCAGCGGGTTCTTAGTCGACTCATCACCGCTGTTTTGAGAACTCCGATTGGACTCCTCGACTCATTCTAAGAAGATTATACTTCATTTCCAAAGTGCCTTGGCACGGAAACTGGGAGTAGAACACTCTTGGCACTACTCTTGGCATTTTCTGGTCCTACTGGTAGGACACGAGAGCGCGGGACACATGTCTTGACCCTTGGGTCAGAGCCGGCACCCCGACTGCATGTGGCGAATCTCTCGGGCATAACGCATCTGGCTGAAGAAGCTGCTTCAGCGAGGCTTGAAGACGCCTTGATCTAGGCAGGTCTCTTTTGACAGAGCCACCCTTCACTTGAGGCATGGTCAAAGTTCCCAATAAGATTGGAGATTGGAGAGCAACAATTTCACGAAAGACTGGGCAGTTTTTGCAAAAACTTGTGAAACATGGCAACTGACGTAAGGCTGTTTCTGCGACAAGTGGACAATGTGTTTGAACACTGACGATTTCTTGTTGCAAGACAATACTGTAATCACCTTTGACCATTCTTCTTTCGGAATGAGACTTCCATGCGCTGGCTGGAAACAAGTCTTGCTATAGCTTTAAGATCTATACTGCTATATAACTATATATTATATAGGTAGTACTCTTTGCCATATCAAATCCATCCATTGATCCTGGTGATGAATCCCGATGGCCGAATGACCTTTGATTGGCACCCTGCCCCTGCGCACAATTCGTGCAACGTCACATGTTATCACTAGTGTAAGAGCTGGGTGTTTCTGCAGTCAATAGAAAATGCAATTGAATACCTTAAGAAGCAGGCCAGCACGGGGGCTTGAGGCTATTCTTGTGCGTCAACTCATGTTGTATCAATTTTATGTTATATATATAACTCAATAGTTGGATGGTTTCACTTAATGCTTTACCGATGGAGCATGCTGGAGCGATTTTTCGGCTCAAGCAGCGTTTGCGGCTCCGCACTTTTTTCGCCTGCAAGGTCCTCGCAAGAAGCGTAACCATGTCAAGCCCCTTGACTCTCATTTCAACGCTTTGACAGCCAAGACATTGCCCAAACCTGCTGTGTCTCATGCTGGTGGTTTTGACTTAGCTTGGGCCATGTCTCAACCTCAGGTCCCATTTTGTGGTCTTTCTCCATGGTCGGTGTTCTTTACAGATTGTTTTCTCAGAGTTTGACTCTAACCAGGAGAGAGGCCAGTGTCTTGCCCCAGGAAAATTTGTTTGCAGCTTCTAATCCCCAATGAGGCTAAGTTTTGTCGTCAATGTTTCCGGTCACCAAGTTTGCTCTGGTTTTTGTGAGCTAATGATGCCCACCACCTCCTGTTGTCATCGCAGATTATATATTGAAGACTTGGCACACCACTCTCTGACTTGGAATGACTGTCCAGGCACCGATGCTGAGTGCCGCACCGCTGTGCCAGAGTCAGTACGCTACGCCCTGTTTTTGCAAGAGGAGATGAGGGACTTGCGCCGAGAGCGACCTTTGCATGAGGGTCAAAAACAGGGGGACCCTCGTTTTCACCACCCAAGGTTTCACCACCCTTTTCAGGCCGTACTGGGTGCCTTGCCCCACCAGAATGAATGGAATTCACTTTGAGGGATGTTAAACTATATAGTTATACTGCTGGTTTGGTAAGCGCCCGGCTTCACCTCACCATTCGTTCCAAGATACTGCACATTCTGCATCAATCATAGGTCCAGTTGCAGTTGATTCATTTGGGACTTAGATGGACTTAGCTTTAAAATTTCTGAGCGACATTTTTGGGCATCGGACAGTGTCCACCCTTCCTGTCTATCATGGTCCTTTCTTCTATTTGAAGCCTTACTTAGCTCCCTGACTAAACCGTCGCCTTCTACGTACTTGAAAATACTCTACTCATGTCTTCTATCTTAGTTGTCCGTAGTAGTGAAGTAAATATATATATATATATTTCAAGGCTTACGCCTAACAGCCGGGCGCCGGCCCACTTGGGTGTGTGGGGGGGGGCGTATGTCACGCCTATGTTGGCCTTAGTGGGGCCTATATTGAGCAAAGTTAAGCTATCTGGTGCGCATCTTGGCCCTAGGTGGGGCCCATGTGGTGTATGTTGGGCACATCTTGGGCCCATGTTGAGCCTATGTTGGGCCTATGTTGGCCTATGTTAGGCCTATGTTGGCCTGGGTTGGGCCTATGTTGGGCCTATGTTGGCGGATGTTGGCCTCATGTTGGCCTATGTTGGCTCTAGTTGAGCCATCTTGGAGGCTATGTTGGGCATATGTTGGGGATATGTTGGCTATCTTGGGCCTATGTTGGGGCGATTTATGTTGAAAAAAATCTGCCGACACAACTTTTTACGACTTTTTCCTTCCCGCAAAGCAAAAACCATGAAAAAACCTAGGTTTTTTGACATCGCCAAGATGAAATTCTCGGCTGCCGAGGGGCCCAAAACCCTGTAAAACACAGTGTTTTTTATACCTCACACACACACGATACACTGTAAATTACAGGGGCTTCAGTGACCCGGTGGTCCCCCCGTTTGGGACCGAGGGTCGGCGGCAGCCGGCGCGCCCGTCTATAACCTTCGGTTACCACCGAAGGCCCTCCGGGCAGGGCACGGGCTTCGTGGCCGGCGCCCGGATTTACCAGGCTACCGCCTGCAGCCGCCGACCCCCAAGGGATAGAACCTTAGCGCTTAAGCCTTAGCCTTAGCCTTAAGAGTGCAGACCCAACCCAGCACCACCAAAGGTACCCAAAAAGTCGACTTTTTGGGTACTTCCCAGATTTACCATCGGACGTCAGCTCTTGCATGAACCCCGATCATTGCCCAAGAATTTAGACCCAACCCTTCACCACCAAAGCAGGTACCGAAAAAGTCGACTTTTTGGGTACCTCCCAGGTTTACCATCGGACGTCATCTCTTGCATGAACCCCGTAATGCTGAACCCTCGTCCCCATAAAGGATATCATTGCCCAAGAACTTAGACCCAACCCAGCACCACCAAAGCAGGTACCCGAAAAGACAAAGCCTAGAGCATTCCTAGGAAAGTGCAAGAAAAGCCTTTGAACATCTCATATACCAACAGAAAACGTGACAAAATCTACGAAAAAGCAAGGGCATTGGCCGGGACCATGCCGCGACCAGCCCGGGATTCGAGCCCAGGACCATTTTGGACCGTGCTTATTTTCCCGCGCGGGTCGAGAGGGTGCCCCAAGATGTAAATCAATTGGGATGGCAGAATCTTGGACAATCCACGGGTCAATCAGGTAGCTTTCCTGGAAAATTTTCGTCGCTTTTAGGGCCGGATTTCGTCACTGCAACAAGGGTCCGGAGGGGTAGGGGAGGTAAGGTCTAGGTCTAGGTCTAAGGCTAAGGACTAGGTCTAAGGCTAAGGCTAACATCGACAGTCACGCCTCACCCCACGGTGTGGGGTCGGCGGATATACAATATATATATATATAATTATATATATATATATACATGTGTGTGTGTGTTTCCATGAAGTGCTGCGCCAGGAGATTGCAAAAATGTCCACAGACCGTTCAGAGGAGAGCAAGCAGTCGGAGCAGAAGGGTGGCTCCTTGGAAAGGTGGCAGGGCCCGTACTGGTGGAAGTCCTTGAAGGAGAGCAAGAATCTTGGCGCAGATCATATAGGTGGCAAATTTGACATGTTTGAAACTTTACTCGTATCTTTGACGACCTGACACGGTGTTTAGGGACAGGGGTTCTTCGATTTTGACGTGTCTCATGCTGTAGGTCTTTGTGCAAAATCATGCAATGCTATACTTCCCAGATTGCATCCTGCAAAGAGGCCTCGACTACTTGATTGGAGGGGCATCCAAACACACGCACCATGGGAAGGCTTTCAATCCACAACACCGGCTGAGCTCCGTGAATTGGAGGGTAAGTGGGCTCAACACAAAGGTCCAGATCGCATCGTGACACCATGCTTTGCCATGCTTTGCCTGACTCCTTGACAACCCAAGGACTGGATTTGCTCAGCGCCATTGAGGACTTGAAGCAAACCCGGGGCAACACCTGTGGAGCGAGGGTTCATTTCCATACTCAGCCTTCAAACCTGCTACAGTTGGTGTTCTGAAAATCCGGGGCCATTGGTTTCTTTCTGGTTTTTGTTTTTTCTTGGGCGAAGGGCATTACTACTAGTGGCTAGAAGCTACTAGGAACAATAGATTATCCCTGGTGTTATCAAGCTTGGCGTTCGGGATGGATGTGCCAGCCTTGATTTGTCGGGTCAACCCATGAATTGTTGGGCAGGGGATGGAAAACTCGCCTGAAACGCCTCGTGCGTTTCTGAGAGATGTTCTTCGTACCAATGCAGTGGGTTATGCCGCATATGCCCTGCTCCACAGGGACCCCCTAAATGAGCCAGATGCTCTTTTGACTGTACAGATTGATTTGAAGCCGTCGCTTCTTGCTCGAATTCAGCCCGTTGAGCCACATGAGTGATCCATCCGGCGGCAATCAAATACCTGTCATGGATGCCGGAAAAGCACATCACCCTTGCTGCCATTTTGACGCAGCATCCGCAAAGCAGGCGCGAGCTGGGTAGGACAGGCAGGAATGTGACAAGTGTAGCGAAGAGTCTTGTAAATGTTGGGCTATATATAGTATGGGTTTGAACTGGTTCGAAGGACTTCAGCTAGCTAATGAGCATTGATGAGCTAATGGCTAGCTGAGTGACGTTCAATTGTCCGATCAGACCAAGTAGGTTTGCATTTTTTGAGGCTGTTGTTTTTGTGTGCTTCCGCACACCGTACCTGTGTTCGCGCAGCTGGATTGAGGCCAGATCATCCTCGACCTCACTGTAAACTTCCAAGAAGCACTAACCCGAACAGGAAAATTGATCTTTCAATCCATGTGCCTTTTTGCTTGTTATTGAAGAACTTCTAATATAGCTCCCCCTATAGCCTATAGTTCGTTCAGCATTCTAGGTCTCACATGTTTTCGTCGGTGCTTTGGGGCAGAATGTCCACTTGCAGGCTCTTGAGGCATTGCCTGCAGTATGGGATCTTGTTTGTCTTGACCTTGGCCCAGGGCCATCTAACATCTAACTCATAATTATGCTGTAACAGTAGCCACCATGGAATCTTCAGCTTTTCCTTTATCCTTTCTTTTGGGGCAGCTTTTGCTGGCCCACGACGCGAGAGCGTCGGCTGGCGGTGCGGTGGGTGTGGGTGGAGGGCCGCTCGGCTTGGCAAGGCTATGAATGATCTGGATCTCAAGCACAGGACAAACGCTTCACTGAACATAGGTTCGCTACTAGGAGCAAAGGGCATCACTACTAGGAGCAAGGACGCTACATGTGTCACTGATCCAACCCGATCCCAAAAAGGATGTGTGGATGGTATAACCTGCGACAGGTACGGAACATGGAAGCCCCTAAAACGCCAATTGTCAGAGAACCCCATCATATCTGAGGTCAGATATCGTCGGTGTACCAATGGTCCAACTTTAGTCACATTAAAATGACCCACTGGGAGTGCGGAAGTCATTCGCTGAGATCAGAGAGGAAGGTGTGTTCTCCTAGCTAGTCAGTGGTCCACGTTTTCCTTTTTTCGATTCGTTGGAGATGGTTTTCCTAAGCACAGGGAAATCTATGAGAAACAAACACGTTATGAATATTAATAAATACTTGTATATAATAGGTTTCGATGACTCTATATGACCCATAGAAAATGCTGAACCCTTCAAGGCGTTGAAGTCCCAATGATGGTCAGTGGTCTTTCTTCCCATTGAAAACAATGAGTTTGATTGATTTGACACTAAAAACGGGATTTGTTGTACCCTCAATGTACGTGGCTGCGGAGTACCTCCCTTCATTCAAGTTTGCTATGATCAGGTTAAACCGATGAAACCCTGTCAATGTTTTTCTTCAACAGCCCCCTCCACAAGAGCCTAGCAGCCTAGCAAGAGTCCTTTAATGAAATCAAATCGATTACACTGTGACCTGAAGGACAACTGCCCGTCACTGCGCAAATGTCATTTCATGATCAGACAAGCCAATGGATCAGTTCGGTTCCCATTCACCTGCTGAATTGCTTTGTAGAACTCCTCCACCAAATATGGCAGCATTGGTGGATCCAGATCAACGTAAAGGCGTTTCTTTTGGGGATGAAGTGGCAGGCCATGTTCGAGAGACTCCAAAGACATCCGAAGATTCCGAAGGTGCAAGAGTGTCACAGTGAAGCTCAGACGGACAGGCAGCAATTGGCAAATTCAAGCAAGTGGATGACTTCACTCCTGGTCCTATGTATTTGAGGGGAGGTTTGTGAAATTTGCTTGCCTCGTGTTGCCTCTAGTTTCACGATTTCCCAGGTGTGTTTCGTTCAAAGTGTGCGTTTGGAAATCTTTCCATGTATGGGCCATGTGTAACAATCAGCAAGTGCAAGGCATTAAATTCAACTAGATCACCCTCGACTCGATGTAGTCAATAACAAAAATCACTGTCACCCAAGGTCAATGACTTGTCGTTGTTTAAGTTTTGCCTTCGTGCAGGTCAATTGGGTGACCCCATTTTGGTGTTCTGGATAAGTCCCAACCCAGTGCAACCAGAGCCTCTTTTAACAGATCCCACATCGGGCCAAGATTCGGGTCACTAAAACCAGGATCCAGTACTCAAGAGAGCAATTGTGCTAACCAGTGTGAAGATCTTGGGCACATGGTTACCAGTGACCAGGTGCAGAATTCTGGTCCGTCCACCTTATGGTATTGTGATCGCACAAAAATGGAACTTCTTTGGGGGGGCATGAATTTCTCAAGCCATTGTGCAGCTTTGGACCACTTGACTTAACCCTGCACGTGTTCTGATATGTTCTGATGTTAAATTTTATCGAACGGACAGTGCTCGGAGGTGGCCTGGCTGATTTTGCTCGAGAAGGCACTAAGATGCCATTGAGCGATTTCTTTTGACAGACCCAGGCCATTAGACTCGAATGACCCAGCCCAGATGATTGGCGGTTCAAAAGAGCGGACAAGCCGAGCGGTGACAAGCGCACTTCGACACTTCAAATCAGCATGTTGCCTCCAGATGTATTCCCCGCCATATGCCCCAAATAGCATGTTTGTTCATGCATTTGCCGCGCTCCTAATTTTTTTGGGGACCCCTGAATTGATCACGTGGAACACCTGCTAGAGACAGACATGAGGTCGTTTCGGCAAGTGTGCACTGGCCGTGAGCGGACAACACGGATGACCACGGCATTTGAGGCCAATTGAACTTTTGCTACGTCATGGTAGCTTTTTGAATCGTTTGGTCTCCCCATGTGACGTTCATGGTCCCGTCGGATCAGGACACGTGCCATGTGCCTTGAACTCCGACATGTGACACTTGTGTGACTCTTGTGTGCATGCGGCGTGCCATGTGGTGCTAGCGTTCATTTGCACAGGTGAACATCCATGTGAACGACGGCGCTGAGGGCCCTCGGAACCTGTTGCTGTTGCCTCGGCGTCGGCAGGCACTGGTGCCCGAGGAGCTCCACCGGGCGCATGGGGCTGGAAGATGTTGAAAGCAGGAATGGGTTTGAGCTGGAACATGGAATTGATACGATGACTATATACTTCCAACATCTTCCAATTAGTTGACCAATTGTTGACCACAGAGTTGATCCCAGTGCTTCCTGGCTTCAGGAGGGCGACCGGCGTTTGCAGCTGCGTGCTGGCAGCTATTGGCGCTATGTGGGGCCCTCGGGCACCGTGGAGGTGCAGGCGTCATGGCACCGAGGAGGGGGGTTGAAAAGGGATGGATAAGAATGCTCCTAGTAGCGATGCCAGGAGCCCCTAGTAGCGATCGCAGCGTACAATCAAATGTTGAAGTCGTGGCAATTTTCTATGTTTGAAGCGTTTCCATTGGGGATTGAATGTGTGGAAGTCGTGGCGATGTCACGTTTGGTTCGGGAGAAGACAAGGCAGCAGCGGCAAACAAAATGCCGATCAAGCAAAACGCCGATCGCACAGCTTCCATGCCAGAAGCTCGTTGACAAATGTGCTTCGAAAGGGGTTTCAGAACACATCAAAAACGTTGCCAAATCATTGCGTTTCTATGCTGGAAGCTGACTTTTGCAAGGACTATGCCGGGACCCCCCCTCCTGGCATCGCGCTTCCATTGGGGAACACAACTTTTTCCATCCCCCTTGCACAGGTCCTTATGAAATGGGGATCCTGGTGACCTATAAAATAACTTTTCCAGGACTTACTTCATAAAAAGCACAATGTTTCCGGAAATCGGAATTTGGAAAAAACGCCTATGCATCTTGTCTCGTCATTTCATAAAAAGGTCGGTTTGGCTCCTGTGTACATTTTATAAACAGTGAATTCTTTTTAACATACAGACAGCTGGATGTTGGTTGCTCATTCTATAAACAAGTAATGGTGTGAGAGAATAGAACCATTTTATGATTAAAGGTTTATTAACTGGGTTTTGACATGTTTGCCAATGGATTTAATAGTCCTTGGCAGGGGAAAGCTATTTTATAAACCATTCCCTCTGCCAAAGAGCTGGAGGGTGTGGACAAATACAATGGGCCTTGGCAGGGAAAATTATCTATAAAATGGTTTGCCATCTATTTCCTGGGAGGGTGTGGACAAATACGATGGGCCTTGGGAGGGGGAAAACAGTTTATAAAATGGGTTTACCAGCTTTTCCCCGGGAGGGTGTGGACAAATACGATGGGCTTTGGGAGGTGAAAATGTTTATAAAATGGGTTCACCATCTTTTCCCTGGGAGGGTGTGCGCAAATACGATGGGCAGGGTGAGGTTTATAAAATGAGGCGATCCAACCTCCGCGCGTTTTGGGTCACTATTTTTGCGCTGTGGTTGGCTCCCTTACAATAGTGGCTCTACAACCAAGGTTTCTCGTACATACCTGGGTTTGCATGGGCCTATCACACCATAATGAGCCGTTTGTGGTATAGCCGTATAGTGGCTATAGGCTCCCTGTAGGTAAATCCTATGCAGGACTAGTTTCTGTGAATTCTGCTTGAAGAAGAATCACGCTCAAAACATCTCAAAAGAATGAAAGTCAACTTTTAAAAAAGTAAACATAGAAACAACTGCGCAATTTAAGACAAGTGATAGCAACCGAATGCAATCATCTCAACAAACTTGCATGCAAAAACATGTGAAACACAACAATGCCAAAAGGAAAAACACTGCACACATAAATATGTTCATTGATGTTCATTGAGCATTTTAACATGATTTCGTGTGCTGATCAAAACCTGAGCATTCACCATGTGCCACATTCAAGTTGTGCATTGTCTTTGGCAGGGGAAATGATGGGAAATGGATAGAAATGTTTTGATTCGGTTGCTATCACTTGCCTTAAATTGCACAGTTGCTCCCTTGTTTTGATATTAAAGTTGACTTTCATTCTTTTGAGGTGTTTCGAGTGAATTCTTCTTCACAAAGAGTTAACAGAAACTAGTCCTGCATAGGATTTGCCTACATGGAGCCTATAGCCACTATAGTGCTATACCATCAATGGCTCATTATAGTGTGCTAGTCCCATGCAGGCTCCCATGGCTTTAGACTTATAGTCTTATAGTGCGTATAGTGGACACAACCACAGCAAGATGTTGGTTGAGCATTCATCCATAACATGGACCATGTTCAGATCAAAATGATCACCGGCTCATGGAAAACCATTCCATAAAAAAAGGCGTCTGCGGATTTTCATTTTTTTTGCTCTTGTATGTTGTCTCGTCATTATATAAAAAGGTCGGATTCTAATTTTATAAAGAGGTCGGATTCTCATTTTATAAAGCAGCAACCTGATGGATTCCATTTTATAAATGATGTTTCTTTACAAATCAAATCCCTCACCCCAGAGACCTCCACAAAGAGGATCTTTTCCCAACTATACTGGTGTGCACTATTTTGGAAGAAATGGTCTGCACCAAGAAGT